ATGTCCTTATATAACATCAATGAGAAGAAGAAAAGTAGTCCGGTCCCTAGGGTTTTCAGGAAAAATTAAGATCTGATTGTTCTCCTAGGGTCATTTTTAAGCCACTATTTTAGCTAGACAAACAGAACATACAATGTGAATTATCCTAGACTACGTTATTTACTTTTGGAGTCGACTATAAGATAAACCTGTTTTTTTGTGAGTCTGTTTGTTTTGCCTTACATTGTTTATTATGAGAAAGGAGAAGAGGTGCTGAGCAGAATAAAAAAAACCCTGAAACTAAAACAATGCATGTTTATTACAATATGTATATATTTTTGATACCCTGATTTCCACAAGCATTCTTCTTCTTCTACATATGCTTTAAAAATTTTTAAAAAATTCTATTTAAAATAAATTGGGATATAATTTATGTATCATAAAATTTACCCTTTGAAATTGTACACGTTTTAGTATACATGCCCTTGAAAATACTGAATAATGCATAGCACATAATAAATAACTCTCAAAAGGCAACCCCAAATTTCATTTTCCTTTACGTCCAGGAATACTGAATAATGTTGAATTGCTTTTATTAGTTTAGGTGAATCTTTCCTCAGCTATGAAAGCTATTATTAAATTATGTTGGCCACATCCAACACACCCATGCTAGATAGAGAAGGTGATAATGAAAATGACTTTTTCATTATTCACTTTTGTAATAATAAGGAAAATAATGTATAGCAGTTACTAGTCCACAAAAATGTGTCATGTTCTAATTGGAAGGCATAACAAGAATTAACTGCTCAAGAACTGGAGTGAATCAATTGGTGGCAATCCAGGTGCCCATGGTTTTGAAATTTGGGAAATACTCTTCATCTTGTCAGAGTGCACATACTTGAAATTGGCACTAAATCTTTCCACCACAGGGATTTGTACAAAACTAACAGTTCCCTTCTTGGTGAAAATGGGAGTGTATGCATCTTGAGATTTTCTGAGGAGCTAAGCCGTAACCATAGCTAACCATAAGCTGTTGGACAGCCTTGGTGTTTCTTTGGCATTGTAGAAACTTAAGTTATTGGTATTTTGCAAAAGCACAATACATGCAACCATGAAAAACTTTGTATTAGGTAAAAATCACAAATTAAAAATAATAAGCATTTATTTCAAAAATTAGGTTAGTGCAAAGCAATTCAAATAAAAATACTAGCATAGGTAAAAATCTATGTTAAGAAAAATGTGGCACATATACACCATGGAATACTATGCAGCCATAAAAAATGACAAGTTCATGTTCTTTGTAGGGACACAGAAACCCTAAATCCGGAAACCATCATTCTCAGCAAACTGACACAAGAACAGAAAATCAAACACCACATGTTCTCACTTATAGGCGGGTATTGAACAATGAGAACACATGAACACAGAGAGGGGAGCATCACACACTGGGGTCTGTTGCGGGGGGACTAGGGGAGGGACAGCATGGGGTGGGGAGGTTGGGGAGGAATAACCTGGGGAGAAATGCCAGATATAGGTGACGAGGGGATGGAGGCAGCAAACCACCTTGCCATGTATGTACCTATGTAACAATCCTGCATGATCTGCACATGTGCCCCAGAACCTAAAGTACAATAAAAAAAATCTATGTTAAATTTCTAATAAATAAACAGTATAGTAAATATGAGACTTTATCATAAAACGTAGTTGAATGTAAGGATTGGTAGGAAAGGGCTGAAGATGCCGAGTTGTGGAGATAATCAAGACAACATATGCCAAAATGAGCCAAGACGAAGAATTCTGGATGAATCAGTTTGGTTTCATGATGTTATAATGCTCTGGTTTCCTGCATTCTTCTCTGATAGTGCTCTTTGCTGTTACTTGACAGTACAAAATATTATATGCTGGGAAAAAATGATAAATAAACGAAAGACTCCCATGTTATCTTGACAACATATCCCCATTCGCTCTTCATTTATGAATCAAGTCATTATAGAAGCAAAGCTGAAGATATTTTCAAGTCAGATTCAGAAATGATTCTGAAGACTTGTAACATAACAGCCAGCTCTTTTCTGGTGGTTTATTCGTACCTCTCGTTAGTAACTGTCTTAGACTTGATCATGAACTGGACATAATTCAAATCAATGGCCAGGTATAGGGAAGCAACTTTCATCTGCCTTGTGTCTCTAGAATGGATCCCTCCTACTCTTTCGTAAACTGGAGTCAATCTTTACCAGTTGTAGCAGGGAACGCGGAACAGGGCCTGAATAATCAAACCTATTATAGAGTGCTATATCCCGTATTATTTCTTACTAGAGTTCTTTATTCCAGACTTGTTTTCATTAACTTGAACTTACAATATGAAAAACTGATTTTTTTCAAGCTTTTAAGGCTATAGATTACCAATTTGCAGGAATTCTGAGAAATAATTTAATTTCTTTTTTCTATGAGTTAGTTTCAAGTAAGCTTTATTATTCTCTATTGTATGACTATTTTGATGACTATAGAAAGCCACTTAGAGTCAACCACCCTAAAATTTTTCCACTATGTCCCTTAATGCTGTAGTTTTGCTAGACACAAATTCTGCATTCTCAACACAAGCCTGGTGGCAGTTTAACCAATTTGTTCATTACAATAGAAGAAGAATTTCTAAATTTCTCCTTTCTTACATTGATTTGCACAATTATAGTTTTTAGATCTGTCACCTCTTTCTGCTACTCTTGGTAGCAATTTCTGATGAATAAGTATCTATTATTGGCAAGTGACCAAAACAACCTAAATTGGTGTAAGAAATACATCAATATACATACAAATACTCCAAATAAATTATTGACAGAGTTCATATAACTTGTGGAATGAATCTTTTGGATAGTTTGATCCAGAAGTCCATGAGGGAATAAGAGTACTGTCTGCATCTCTGTGTGACTCACTTATATGTGTATTCTAACCTTGTCTGTGTGCTGGCCTGGTACTCAGGATAGTTCCTTTGCTGATAGAAAGTGTAAACATAGCAGTGTCAGACTTCACTTTTTCACACCATATCAGAGAAAGAATGTACAACGTATCAGACTTCCAGAGAAAGTCTTGATGAACTCTGGCCTGATTTAGATCACAACCCTGAATTAAAAACACTGTGGATTGGGTAATAGAATGCAGTAATTAACTTTTGGGGAGTTTTGAGTTTCTCCACTGAAATTAGGAATGGAAACAACTTTCCTGAAACATTCAGTTTGACAAAATTGTTCACTGTGTGAACAATTTTTTCCCTTCACCCCCAAAGATTAATGTAGGCTGAGAAACAAAGCAAGAGGCATTTGTCAAATATTACCAATAGAAGCAAATGACATGGGCTTAGAAAATAGGTGAATATTCTTGATTTTTATATCACTCACTATTCTCCCAAGATGAATAGTATAAACTGTATAGTGTGTTTTTACATTTCATTTCTATTTACACAGAATAATTTCTCCACCTATTCAAATTTTCATACCGGCAATTATTCATTTGTTCATTCACTTAACAAATATGTACTGTACATAGTGCACCATGATTATTGTATTTGGTGCTCATGGGATGGGAAAGGAATGGCTAAAACATGTATCATCTATCTTCATGCATTTATGATCAACATAGGATTTCATTTTTCCTAAATGACATAACGATATATGTATCATCTTGCAAATAGTTTAAAAAACTTTCAATATCCTTCCATTATAAGATCAAGTTCTATATCATTTGATGAATACTACATCTTATGCTGTAATTCCCTAATTGACTTACACATTGCCAAGTGATGTTCATTTGGTAATTCTCAGCCTTTTACTATTACAAAGTGACTGCAATGAGTAGACTTATTGGCAAGTTGATTCTGGTATATAACCCTAGTTGTTGATTTCTAGGTGAAATGTTTTCTGTACTGTTAGCAAATATAAATTCCAGTGTTTTCAATTGTTCATTAAAGTACCTGTTTCACTTTAAGTGTTAGCATACTTGCTAGCATTGAACCTACAAAAAATTTAGTTTGTGCAAATGTGCTGGGTGGAATATATATCATGACTTTAATGTCTAAATCTAAGGCTAATAATGAAGTTGTTCATCCTTTCCTATTGTTATAGGTAATTTTATTTTACAGTAAATGTCTAATATTTTATTGGTATTTATAGTAAATTTATTGCCTTTCTTGATTCATAGAAACTTTATATATATTTATGATATTAAGCCTTTCATGTTAACTGTACTATAAAGCTATTCTTTTACTTATGTTTTCTCCTTCATATTTTTTCTTTAATTTTCTCTTTTTGCTATAGGTATTTTAAAGTTTGTTAGTTAAATCTCACTTTTTCTCAATGGGGGAAGGAATTTGTATCTTGATTAGGAATGACTTCTCATAGGCCAGGCACAGTGGCTCACGCCTGTAATCCCAGCACATTGGGAGGCTGAGGTGGGTGGGTCACCTGAGGCCAAGAGTTTGAGACCAGCCTAGCCAACATGGTGAAATCCCGTCTCTACTAAAAATAGAAAGATTAGCTGGACATGGTGGCAGATGCTTGTAGTCCCAGCTACTCGGGAGGCTGAGGCATGAGAATTGCTTGAACCCGGGAAGTGGAGGTTGCAGTGAGTCAAGATTGTGCCACTGCACTCCAGTCTGGGCAACAGAGCAGGACTCTGTCTCCAAGGGGGTGGGAGGACTTGGCGGGGGGATGGGGAAAGAATAACTTCTCATAGAGGTTGGAAAAAAATGGCTTTTCACACCATATTATAAAAGTATCAGAGAAAAACATCTGGAAAGAAGGAAAAAGTAGTGATTTAATCTGGTTAATGACTGAAAGTGCTATATTTTGTCTATCATAGAGTATTATTCAATAATTAATTTCTCAGTAAATAAGTTAACAAAAAATTAACAATGAAATGACTATGCAGTCAACCTGATTGCTCTATAGACTAAGAACTTACAAAGTTGGTTATTGGCTTTCTGAAAAATACGAAGCAGATCTTTTGTATTGATTTTTCAACTTAGGTACACTTTACTTTTTTAAGAGAAATGCAATTTTTTTGAGTGAGTCATGAAAGGCTTGTTTAACTTGCTTATTCCTCAGGGTATATATGAAAGGATTCAACATAGGTGATATGGAAGAGATAAGCACTGACACACCTTTATTAATGTTTACTTCTTCCTTTGCAGATGGCTTGATATAGATGAAGATGCAGCTGCCATATGTGATGGAAACCCAATAATGTGTGAAGAACAGGTAGAAAAGGCTTTTTTCTTTTGTTGAACAGAAGGGAGTTTTAGAATTGTTCTTATGATATATATGTAGGAGAGAACTACACAGACAAGAGTGATGATGAAGGTTAACACAGCAGAGGCTATAACCATCTGCTCAATTAACCATGTGTCTGAGCATGATATTTTCAGAATAGGCAATGCATCACAGCCAAAATGATTGATGACGTTAGAGTCACAGAATTCTAGATGAAAATCTAAGCTAAGTGGTGGGAGGATAATCATAAATGCTGCCATCCAACAACAAATAACCATGGTTTTGCACACTTTGTGGCTCATAATTGTTATATAATGCAAGGGTTTGCAGATGGCCACATAGCGATCATATGACATGGTGGCCAAAAGAAAAAATTCAGTGACCCCAAAGAGATCTGTAAAAAACAGTTGAATGACACATGCATTATACGTTATTGTTCTGTCCCCAGTTGAGATACTGTATAGGAATCTTGGAACACAGGCAGTTGTAAATGAGATTTCTAAGAAAGAGAAATTTTGGAGAAAAAAATACATGGGTGTTTTCAGGTGGGGATCCAACATGGTGAGGGTGATGATGGTCAGGTTCCCTGTTACACTTAACAGGTAGGTGACAAACAGAAACAAGAAAAGCAGAACCTGCAGCTGAGGATCTTCTGTCAGTCCCAGAAGGATGAATGTTGTTATTGCTGTGTAGTTTCTCATGAGCGATTTCTGGATTTTTCCAAAACAACATTTAAATGTCAGAGAAACTTGAACTGCAGCATTCAATAACAAAAGCAGCTAATGATGAACACTCTCATGCATGTTCCATTTATCCAGCATTGTAGGTTTTACTAGTAGATCTGCAGAAGTATATACTGAAAATATAACTATGTATGTGTGTATGTTTTAGTAAGTTGAAATCCCCTGACCTATTTAAACAAAATGGCTAAATAAAATTATTTTACAAATTTTAGTTAGTGAGCTGTAGAATAACTTTTCTTTATTAATCTTCTATAGGAATTAAATTATAGTGTATTAAACATTTAAAAAAATTTATTTATTATACTTTAAGTTTTGAGGTAAATGCACAGGTTGTGCAGGTTTGTTAACATAGGTAGACACGTGCCATGGTGGTGGTTTGCTGCATCCATTGCCCCGTCATCTATATTAGGTATTTCTATTAAACATGTTAACTTTTAATCTGAGTTGTGCCTTTTTATTGGATTGAATTATTTTTTGAAATATGAATTGTTTTTGTGCTGCCAAATGTTTTCCTGCAACTCATAAGCTACATTAAAAATTTGCTTTAGTTTTATCCCTTTGTTTTAAAATTTGGGAATTAAAATTTGGGAATTGTTAAAATCTTAAAATTTATATCAGGATCCAAACGAAGCATCTCAATTACCTCTGAGATGTATGTTTATATGCTTTTGGACTGCTTTTTAATTATTGGTTATTCATTATAAGAGAAAACCATCTTTTGACCCTAAAGCATCTGCATTTATAATTTTATATGCCTCTTCTTTGCTTCATTATATAAATCTTATATCTACTCTTTGGATAATGCTGTGCAGTACCATCTGATTATTTTTCAGTGCTCTTTTATCATAGTGCAAGGCAATTTTGATTATAAAAAATAAACTGCTGAAAAATGTAAAAACTATGCTTTCATGTGTTCAGTTAGCTTCTCAGGTTAGACCCAGTTATACAACATGGAGAAAAGTCAGGACAAAAATTGCTGAATATCCTCACCATGATGCAGTATTCTACCCTTTTTTCATTTCCTTCAGGTCCACATTCTTTGATTCTATTCTACAACATGCATTCATTTCTCAGTCTGTTACTGTCCTAGTTGTCACCTCATCAGATTTTTTAAAGTGCTTAATCAGGTATGTTCCTATGATTTAACCCAGTATAATCATAATAATAACAAACACAAATCTCTTGCTATGCTTCAGGCACTGTTTTAAGTGTATTACATATATAACTAATATAATCCTTAGGACAACCTGTGAAGTAGGAAAGTATATTATCTGCACTTAAAAAATGAGAAAGCTGATTTACCAAGAGGTAAAGTATGTGGCCACTGTTTTCTGGATAAGTGGCCAGAGAAACCCCAGAGTCCCAGTTCTTTAATCCCTGCACTGTGTTTGTGGTGCACATCTTACCTGAATGTTTTAGTTTCATGAAGACAGTATTCTGTCTCTTGGTAATTGAAACAAAGCGAGGGTTACCACATAGTTTATTATCTAAACCAAGATGCTTGAGAAACAAAGGTGGGGACAGTGTTAATAATTATGTTGATACAACTGGTGTAAGGCTATATCAAGAGCAAAAACTAAATTTGTGCCACTCTCTATATAATTCCTTACTCCTCAATTCAGGTGTAACATTAGGGCTGACGGAGATTAAAAGTTGACAAAGTGCAACTGGCTAGTTTTCCCCATCTTATTCTTTATTTTTTTTAGTATACTGATCCCTCAATGTTTCTTTAATATTTCTTTCAGTGAAATAATAAGACTGAAGACTAGAGATTCTGTTATTCTGGGCTAAGTTCAATAGCTAGGTAGAAGATTTTTAAAAAATGTATTCTCAATCATATTGTTAGATATTCACAGGTTTCTAATTTTTGAGTAATATCTTAAGAGCTTCAATTTTTTTACCTTTATTAAATGCAAAAGAGATATAAAATAAGCCATTTTAAGCTATTTTTTAAATTATACTTTAAGATGTGGGATGCATATGCAGAACAAAATAAGCCATTTTAAAAATGGTTTTAGAACAGTTCCCTCAGAAAGCCCTAATACATGTACTATAAGAGCTGTAAAAAATCAGTGTTTTTCTCTTTTTCATCAGATCAAATAAGCACTGTCTTCTGCTACTATACACCCAACACACTGAGCAAAGTTTCCTTGGTAGAGGAACACCATCACATGGGAGAGATCTTAATTTAGCCTCAGGGTAGGTAAAGCTGGATAGGGAGCTAATACCCTTTTGAGCATAACATTATAATCAGAAAGTGACTCTGTGACTCACACTTAGAACCTCTGTCCTGTTTTCTTCTTTTTCACTATCTCAATATAGCATCCAGTAGTTCTCTTGGTATTGGATTCAGCTTTGTTTAGGTCTCCAGACTATCTTTCATCTTTAATATCTTGCTTTCCCTGAATCCAGTCTTGCATAAATATTAAATATTTAGCAATATTGTCATAATCATATTGACTCAATATTGCTTTGCATATTTAATTTCCAGAAAATATTTCAATTTGGTAAGAGATCAGAAATACATAATAAAAATCTCATGTAATATTTCAGTCTGCTGCTATTATGCATCTGTGTGCACTTGAATTTATATATTTTTTGCATACCTGTGTGTGTGGTGAGGGGGAATTTTATTTTTGAGTATTTCCAACCCAGAATTAGTAATGATTTCCAGCATTTCCTAAATGACTGTAGGATCTTTCCATCAAATACTAACATAAGTATTTGACATATTGATTATTTAAGCCTAACACATTACTTAAAAAGAGAAATATATCATTACACTTCCCACCCACATCTCTCTTTCTGCCAGTATATTTACAAGTATACATTGAAATACGCTGAAAATAACTAACATAAAAAATGTTATCCTTTAAGCAGTAAGTTATTTCATGACATCTGCTGATGGTTTATTTACGGAAGCTCACAGTAAGAGAGGTTGAACAGGAATATTACTGTGGAGACATACGAATGCTGTTTTCTCAGGGAAATACACTTACCCAGAAAAGGCCCTGGAAATGCCCAGAGCCCTTTTGCACAGTTTTTTTTTCCATGAAAGGGCTTCTGCCATTTTAATCTAAGAAGCTATATTCTTATTCTCTTGTTGGCTAAAGTAAAGAAATACCTGGCGTAAACTTATTGGTCAGAAAAACATGTTTGGCCCTAAATATTCATCTATAAAAGAAGCCAAGAGTCAACAAGCAAAAGAGTCTTTGGAGTCCAGGTTTAAAAGCCACTAAGGAATCTTCGATGTAATCATTTTTGGCAATCAACCTCAGGCAACAATGGGGACAGAGCCCCTGGGGCAAAAAAAAAATGCAACACCAGACATACTGTGATTGGACTGGACAATATAAGTCAAATAATAAGGTGTTTGGTTTTTTCCTTGTATCGTCTAAGGCAATAAAGCTGGTACAGAAACACTTTCTCTACTTTGAAAAGGTTACTTATGGATATTATGAGAAATAAGAAGTTGAACAGAAAAAATGACACGTGGATAACCATTCAAACATAAAAAATGTTATACTTATCCTTTAAGCAGTAAGTTATTTACTATTCCAAATAGTAAGTCTATTCCAAATAGACATTTCCAAACTTGATTTTATTCTCTTCCTTCTTTTGTATACTCAATTGACTAGCACCCTTTCTCTCATTAATTAAAACACAAGTATTCTTTCATTTAGCCAGTATTTATTGACACCCTATTATGTATCCTGGGTACTGTTCAGGGTAGTAATGCTACATCAGTGAACAAAGAAGACAAAAATCCATGCAGGTCTTTATATTCTAATCTTGAGACAGAAAATAATCAGATAAATTAGTACTGCATATAATGTTTCAGATGGTGGTAAATGTGTAGAGAAAACAGCCTCATATGAGAAGGACAGCAATGTGAGGAACATTTTCCGTAGCGCATTTGAGGCAGGCTGTCACTGAGAAGGTAATTTAATGCTGGAAACAAATATAAACTATTCTTAGGAATAATCACAATTCCTTATGTTTTCCGAAGGGTGAGTAAAATGGATTTCTGACTTAATGCTTAAGAAGGAATACATTTGTAACACTGAAGGAAAATATGACAAATACCAAAAAGTTTAACATATGTCTCATTGTAACCTGAAAATGTCCTCTTGAAATTATGTTTGGAAACAAAATAGCGTTATATGTTTCTGTAAGGCACAAAAAGACATTTAATATATAGCTTTTTAAATAACAGTAGAAACTGTAAGCCAAGTAAATTTCCAATAATAGGGCATGGCTTTATGAATTATGCATTCAATAGAATGCCATATAGACTTGAAAATGATTAGGTACCATATTAGTCAGGGTCCTCCAGGGAAGCAGACCCAATAGAAGATTTATGTATGTATGTATATATGAAAGAAGATGGGGGGATTATTTATTTATTTTTTTAAATAAATTGGCTCACATGATTGTGGAGGCTGGCAAGTTCAAAATTTTCAAGGTAGGCTGAGGTGATATTGGAGCTTGGATATGATTTAAATATTAATATTATCTAAAAAAATTCTTCACAGCAACATATAATGTTTAAGCAAATAATCTGGGAGCTGTGGCCTAGCCAAATTGACATATAAATTAGCTATCAAAAGTGTATTTATACTTACAGAGAAAATATTAATCAAATGTTATTAATATATAATAATTTAGGTTTTAATGTATAGAGTACATATATGTACACAGACACACACACACACGTGCACACACACACACACATGTATCCATGCTAGAAATGTATACCTGAAGCTCTTAATTAGTTCTAACTCTGATGATCTCTGTGTTGGGACAGTTTTGAATTCTAGAATGCATTTCTATTTTGATAATAATATGGTCTGACATTATGAAGAAATAATAAAGGAAAGAAAGAGGGTTTTGTATTCTCTGAAATTTCTTAAAAATAGAAAGCAGCCAACATGATGTGACACTTATTGTTTAAACCT